TAGGGCTGCAACAACTAATCGACATAATCGATTATAATCGATTATTGAAAAAGTTGTCAACTTTTTCAATCATCGATTAATCGGCTTCTGATTGGTTGACCCTGTTCACGGCTCCACACACGCTGCGCGCCACACCTCCTCCCCACCTCACGCTCGCTGCTGCCAGACCCGCCTGGCCGCATCTACGCTCCACACGCAGCACCTCCTCCATGCCTCACGCTCACCGGCCACCCACGATCGGCACAGGGACGCGGGTAGAAGTAAGTTGCTGGAAGACTGCTCAGGTAAGCCTGCACTCCCCCACATGGTGCTCTATAATGTATTGCTGGGATTTGTATTCCTCTATAGCTGATGGTACATTCTGCTGTATATTATACCATCAGCTATAGAGGACTACAAATCCCAGCAATACATTATACACAGTATGTATAATGTATTGCTGAGATTTGTTGTATTCCTCTATAGCTTGTAGTATTCTGTATTGTATTGCGCTGTATAGAGGACTACAAATCCCAGCAATAATACATTATAAAGTGGAATACCACCAGCTAAAGAGGAGTACAACAAATCCCAGCAATAATACATTATACAGCGCAATGCAGAATACCGCCAGCTATACTACTATTGCTGTGTTTTGTTGTATTCCTCTATAGCTGGTAGTATTCTGCATTGTGCTGTATAATGTACTATTGCTGGGATTTGCAGTCCTCTATAGCCGGTGCCAGTCTTCATCATTGCTGTATAATTTTACATTTCACTATATTGCACACCACACTTTTTTTTGTTTTTCTTTTTTACTTCCACCGCTCCAAGCTTGCTCCTGTGATGGAGTGCAATCTCAATACAAACTAGTAGTCCCATCATTGGAGCCATTTTTTAAAATGTATTTTATTTTTTATCCGATTAACCGATTAATCGAACTTAATAATCGGCTAACTAATCGATTTTGAAAATAATCGTTAGCTGCAGCTCTATTCAAAACTATTTTTTAAAGCAGAGGACCTGTAGAATAAAAGAATGGTGGTCCAAATTATGTATGTCTAGCAATGTTTGCACACATGTTACTTTATAACTATATTTTAGTTGAAAAAAACACTACACATATTATAGTGCACACAAGCAAAATATTATCTCTAGGCCCGCATTGAGACCTGGACATGAGTGTTTTCAGTTGATTTTAAAGCTTTTTGTGCATTTTTGTACATTCTTTCCCATGTGCACTTTTTAAGCCTTTGTTTGTGTTTTCTTATGTGTTTTCAAGCTTCAAGTGTTTTTGTTTTAGCCAATGGAACGCAGTTTTAATCTGTGACATCATATGTTGTCATCGCTGTTGTATCTACTTGTGCTGTTGGAGTTCCCAATGTGGGAAAACTTCACACCCAATTTCTTCCCAAGCCCTCTGCTGTTTGCCATGTTTCTTGTAATGGTTATCACTGGGGTTGTAGAGGTTCTTGTGGGCCCTCGCCGGGCAGATATAAGTCTCCACATCCAGCATGGACACTTCTGAATCCTCCATTTTGTTCACAGGCAAGGTTGTTAGTCGCAAAAACGCATAAAAATGCTCCTAAACGCTACTGTTGAGCGCTTCTTGAAATCCTACTAAAGTCTATGGGCCAAAAAATGCACACTTATGCCCCCTAAAAAAAATGGTGTACTTTTTTCCATGACAAGCAGCAGCACAATGCTCAGGTGTGAACAGGCACCATTGAATATAATGGGAATCCTTATGTGAACTGTTGTTGTACTTAGGAACGAATCACTAGGGTGTTTAAAAATAAAAGACAAGACTGCATCAAGTTAATAATAAAAAAAAAATAATAACAATAATAAAAAGGACATATATCTAACCTCAAAACTGTGTTCACTGTGTGAAAAACTGCAATACTCAGAATATTTAAAAAATACAGTTCACCAGAAACCTGTTGCATTTCTGTCTTCAGGATACCTGTACCTTCATAATAACCTGAAATCTGTTCTCTAACTCAGCCTTTATCAACCATGGTGCTCTTGCACACTGGTGTGCCTTCTGGCTTCCTTGGGCGTGCCTCAAAATTTTGGGGTAGTGGACTCTGATGTGAAGGGTGAATGAAGACTGAGACAAAGGGGGCTCCTGATGTAAAGGGGGAACTGGGGAAAGGGGGGACTCTGATGTGAAAGTGGGACTCCTGATGTGAAGGGGGGATACTGATGCAAAGGGTGACTCTGATGTTAAGGGGTGGAAAAAATCTTGATGTGAAGGGGGAAACCCACTTTTTTGTGTGTTTTTGCATTGAGTCCCCCCCCCCCCCCTTAAAATCTATGACATTTGAGAGTGGGATGCCTTAAGATTTTGCATACTGTTAAAGGGTGCCGTGACTGAAAAAAGGTTTAGAAATGCTGCTTTAACTATCTGACATGCAATGATGTTGCTGTGTTTTATTTACTGGCTTCTTCTAAATGCTTGGACACCTTGATCACACACTACTGTTTTCTGAGTCCTCCAATTAAGCGTGCTCATTGTAGGAATGTGTAAGCCGTCAGGAAATGCTGGTATGTGTGTCTTTGAATGGACAAAATGTAATGGGAAATCTGATTTAACCCCTTCATGACTGAGGCCCTTTTTTCCATTTTTGCACCCATGTTATATTCCACATTTTAGGCCTGAAAATGACGTATGGGCGGCCCCTTCTTCGGGACGCAGAAGCGATCTGGCGACAGGTAAGTCGCCAGGATCGCTTCTGTTGTAAAGCCGACAGTCGGCTCTACAAGTTTAAACAGAGTCCCGGCGGCAAAAGTCGCCGGGAGTCTGTTTAAACAGCCCCGATGCTGGCGACGTACACTGTACGTCGTCAGTCACGAAGGGGTTAAACTGCTGCACAGTGCTACAGACCGAGAACTCAGAAAGAACCAGACCTAATGACCGAGAGCCTTTCAAAGAATAGGAAGTTTGCCAGGTGCCCCAAGTTTCAGCTCTTTGTTCTCTAGAAAGCACACTGCTACTGTATGAATAGACTTCCAAACTACGGCTGCTGAATACTGAGAGCTTTACTGCACCAAACAGAAATAATGAGGAACACGTTATTTCCTAACAGAAGACCATATTCTGAATCAGGAAAAGCATACTTCTGTAGCGCTCACCCCCGAAGGAGCCGCTGAATAACCGGATATTTCTATCCCCCTACACCAATGTACCGCCCAAAGCGTGGATCCACAGCACACCAACACACCTTTGAACAGTTTTATAGCAGATTTACTGACAAATCAGAGATGAACAACTATGATACAATAGTAATGACAGAAATCCCCAACAATAATGTGTATCAACAGGCTGAGGCACTCAGTGTTTGCAGTCCTCTCAATTCGCTCCGTCTGGCTCCCTCTCTCTCTGCTGGGCTGGCTGGGTCACTCCGGCGGCTGGTTCAGCCATGCGACTAGGCCTCGGTTCAGGCGCTCGAACACAGTCTCTCTGGTTCAGCAGATGAACATCCGTCCTTCAGAGCGCTGAGTCTGTGTGTCCCAATCTGTCAGTGGGAATCATACAGCCCTGCTGCAAGCAGTCCTAATTCACACAGTGCCGCACACAGGCCTGTCTCCTCCAGATCCCCCAGTCAGACTGGGCACGCTCAGTCACTGCAGTACATAGCCCTCCTCCTTCCTCTCGCACAGCATCCTGGGAGTGGTAGTTCACAAGAGCTCGTTACCCTTAGGAGAACTATGGGCAAAAGCCCTGACCCCATAGTTCTCCTTTAACTCCTGCGTTTAGTGTCACTTGAAGGTAACCACTGCTTTGTATTCACTCATCACATGCTTGGTTTGCTTTGTCAAGGTTTCTGACAGGTTCACCTTAAAGGCCAACCACGCACAAAATAACCAATTCAGTGTTATGTGGAATCTAACATTACAGCACAAACTTGTACTTCATTATCCTGCATTAATGAGATTTGTTGGCTAAAGTTCCAGAGCTTTCCTACCATCATGGTTGGAAACACTATAGTGTTTGGTTTTAGAACTAACACAATACTCTATCTTTCCTTCCTATGTTTATCTTCTGTTCCTAAGAAGTATTCAGGAGCAGGCTTGATTATCAGGTTAGATGTAATAGTAATATATTTGGTGGGAGTCTTGACCTTCCTCTGACAGATCTCACAGCGGGACCCTGAAAGGTGAGTTTGGTTTCCATAACATGTAATACAATCCATATGGTAAAAGTAACAATGGTCAATATTGTTCAAGATATTCAAGTCCTAAAATCAAGTAAAATGGAGAGTTCAGGGAGGTTATTTTCTGACTTACATAATGTTTGACTTGGCTAAGTAACATGTTAGTAAAAAATAACTGTCTCTTCTTTTTTTTTTACAGAAACCTGATGCCTGCAAACCTTGTTGCTGCAGCCTTTAGATCGGTAAGACTCTCACATGAGTTGTGAAATAAAATGTATGGCCATTTAGACCACTGACAATATAACATACTGAATATCTGCCTGTCTCGAGTCTAAGCAGATCTGTTAATTTTTGACACCAAGAAAGATATACAGAATGAGAGCACCAGCGAGTTTGTTTGTATCCAGAATAGACTTTATTTGTCAAAAACATTCAGTACAAATCCAACGCGTTCAGGAGGTTACAAAGGTCTCTTATCAGGGCTAATCGGAGCTATTTTTGAACAGTGTAAATAGTTCCTTTCAAAGGTTGTATCTCTGTGGATGGTGCTGCCAAACTAGCGATTGGAGCAAGTTCATGGAGATTCAGCTTTTGATAAACATTTACTGTATAGTGGCCAGTATTTGCATGAATCACTTTAGAGCTCCTTGTGTTCCCTGAAATGTTTTTTTTGTTTTTGTTTAAATGTTGTTCGATAAAATAAAATCTATTCCGCTGGCTCTCTCATCTAGTATTTCTTCCTGGTCATCATCAGGACCACTGCTTTTGGCTCTTAGAGAATAATCGGTTCCCACTCACATGGAAAATTTCCAGTAGTTTGAAAACCTTTGTGTGAAAGAATGAGGATTTATTATTGCCCCCTAGGAAGGTTACAGATAGCCGGTTTACTCCAAGAGATACTTAAATCAGGGGCATTGCTTAATAACCATCTATGGCCACCATAAAAGTGGCTATAGGCACTAGATGGCTGGTCTGCGCTACATGATCTGCTTGCTGAAAAAAGTGCTGTACAACCATGTACATTTGCAACAAGTAACTGGGCATGTTTTTTTCTTATGGCGGTGAGAGTACCTGAGTCCTGGCTTCTTATAGGGGAAAACAAGAGCGACTGGCCAGGAAAATTAATGCCAGTCAATGGCATTGTTCCATAAAGCACATAACGGGAAATGTCAACATAAAAATCTGCCCGATCCTGCTGTAATGGGTGGGATCAAGGAAAGGTCATTGCTCATGTCTGCAGGCACTTTAAGTATAAAAATAGATTTATAGATTTAATAGGCTTGCTTTAATTGGACTGGTTACTTGTGATGCTTGGCTATCATCAACATTTGCCTGTATGTTGGTTATCTAATTATTTTTCCAAAGCACAAAAAGGACAGAAATCAAAACAAGGGATTAATATCTTAGAAAAATATTACGGCTCTTGATTTAAATCTGAAATCATAGGGTTCTCTGTGCTCCTGCAGCTAATTGCTATGGGTGTATAAAAATGTTGTGCCCTTTTGAGAAGAGAAAGAAAGGAAATCTTGGTTATGCTGTTTACCAGACAAGAGACATTGAGCTGAAATGATCACTTTCATCCCAGGGTAGTGGGGGCTGTGCCATAATGGAATAGGTTCTGTTGTTATATCTAACTCTTTAGTGCAGTGATCCATAAAGTGATGGATAGAATAGAGACATAAATTAAGACGGGGAGATTATGAGATTATCGTCGGGCCTCACACGATAGATAGTTCAGGGTTCAGTAAACTATATTCTGGTGTTCATATACAATAGACCAGTGACCATTGGGGTTGAATTTGTGGCCCTCCAGTGGCCTTCCTTGGTATAGGAGAAGATACTTAGTTAATGTATATATCAGTGCACATAAAAAAAATATTTAATACATCTCTGCAAAACATGCACATTTCCCCAATGTTTTATCTATTTGAAAAGGTTGCAAGTACAGAAAATGGCCTGTTGATCCTGGAAGAAATACAGCAAGCTTCCAACTTCCTGTGTTAATTGACAGTTTTGCCTCTGCTGCACCGAAATCCCAAACAGTTTTGTTAGCCCTTACTGAGTTCTACCCTTCTGGACTACTGAACACCTCCACCTTGAGGTAGAGATGATGAGGTGGTTCTGTAGTCCAGCAGGAGAGAACTCAGGCAGAAATGACAACACTGCTTTGGGATTTCAGTGCAACAGAGTCAGAATTGTTAGTTCTTACAGGAAGTTGCAAGTTTACTGTATTTCTGGCAGGATCAACAAGTTTTGTTCTGTACATGTTTAAATAGACAAAATATGAAGAAGTGTCCATGTATTATAGACCACATAAAGGTGGCATTTTGGGGTGTCCTGTAACTTGCATTATCTTAAATAATGACCCATTCTAGATAAAAGGCACCACACAGTTGTCGGATGCTTCTCTCACTACTGTAAATTTGCTGTGTTAAATTGAATACATTTTTTACTTATACTCAATAAGCTCTTCAGTGTTGGTGTAATATGAATTCTTTATTTCTGTTTCAGTACGCCACAGACTACATAACCTACACAAGAAACACAACAAATGGAAACATTACCATTGAACGGGTAAGTTGATCTACCAGCAGGGGTCATATCTACTAAAATATTATGGGAACCATAATGAATTTATCATAAGGCTGTATATATAAGATTATTAGACAAGAATATGTATGTCTTGGAGACATCTTTGGTGTTTTTATAGCTTCCAAGTGAGAAGGCTCTCATATCAGGGGTACCTCTAAGATTAGGAAACATAAATACCTTTTCATGAGGTGATAGCCTGAAGATAGCAGCAGGAATTCATGAGAGTTCATTTACAAAAATGTATAAAAGCAAAAGTGGGGTTGTTGTGCCTAGGAAGAAATTAAAGTGACAGTAAACTGGGAGTTAAAGGGTTATTAAATCCTTGCATGTTTTTGCATATATCTACTGCTTGCAAAACGATTAAAAAAATACAATAATTAAAGGGTTAATACTTACCTGTGTCTCCGCCGCGCGCTCCAGACCGAACATCTAAAAATATCTCTGGCGGCTGCAAAGGATCTTGGGGTGCAGTTCAGATGTTCAGCCAGGAGACGAGGAGAGACGCAAGGTAAGTCTATGGACCAGCGTGCACATGAGAGAAGAGGAGGACAGAGGAGTCAGTGCTGGATCCGAGACCTGCACCAGCTCTGGAGAGACAGTTGAAAAAGACAGTAAAGAAGAAGATGATCGGATTAAGAGACATCATTTAAGGTAAGTCCTTACAGCAGGATTGGGAAAGGGGGGAAACAATGTTTGACTTTAATGTCACTTTAAAACCGAAAAGTACGTTCACGTACCTTAACTATAAACAAAAAATGTATCTTATTTGTGTATCACTCAGCTGTAGATCATCAAATCATCTCTCAATTGGTGCTGACACTGTGCTTCCTTCTGGAGGGTGGCTACTTTTGTTGCCCATGGTCCCTGTGTGTGTGTTGTAACGTAGCCACCGCTCCAAGCTCACTCCCATGATGGACTACAATCTCACATTTAGTTTACTAATTTGTATTGAGATTGAGGTTCTACAGCCGAGTGATACACAAATAAGATATATTTTTGTTAATACTTAAAGGAGAACTGTGAGGTGAGTGCTTTTCACTCACATCATAGCTCTAGCCGACCTGTGACAATGAGACTGTCTCAGTAGATCGAGAAGTGAGCGAACACATACCGGCGTTCGCTCACCTCTCGATCCTGTCGTAGCTCTCTGCCGTGACAGGGGAGGGGCTGGATTCCCCCCGCTCCGATCGCCAGCGCTGACTGGCGGATCGGACGGGGCGGGTACAGCTGGCTCTGCCTCTGGATAGGCAGAGCCAGCTGTCACTCATGCAGCCAGCTGTCACTCATGCTGTAGCTCGCGGTATACTGAGCTTAGGGTGACGGGAGGACGCTAGTTTGTGTCCTCCCGTTACCCTAAGGAGAACTATGGGGAAAAGCCTTAACCCCATAGTTTTCCTTTAAGTTACTTGAATGTATTTTTATGATTTCACTCCTGAGTTTAGTGTCACTTTAAGTCATCTTTATTTCTTTGGGAAAATTAAACATGATATTGTACCGGCTTCCATACTACAGCTCTTCTTTGCCCCACATATCATAAACCATCCCTACTGACTCCTGTAGCTGTAACTGCTTTTATAATTCTGTGCATCCAGTCTTATAATTAAGCCCCTCTTGCCTCTCTACTGAAGCAGTAACAAAGCTTGGTTAATAACACACCCCTGCCTGTTGATCGATTAGTGAAGGGGCAGCACAAAAAGGTGGCCAAACACTTTATAACCCTCGCAAGACTTTTGTCTTGCGAGGGTTGTAAAGTACTTTAAAAAACGTACGATCTGCCCATCTTGGACAGGCAGATCGTACTTGCGATCATCGCAAGCCCGCCCCCCTGAGGGGCGGGCTTCCGATGACTGCAATGCTGAACGGGCAGTGTGCGCGTGCGCACACCGGCCCGTTCGGCAGTGATCTCTTGATCATGTTAAAAACCAGCCGAAAACCGTACGCTTCTTGACTGGTTTTCCAACATGCTCGATATACAAAAGACGTGCGACCGTACATTAGAAACGGTCACACGCCTTCCATACACTGCACGATTCTCGTACGATCGTGGGATTTCCCGCGATTCTCGTACGAGAATCGTGCAGTGTATGGGCACCTTAAAGGAGAACTATGAGGTGAGTGCTTTTCACACACCTCATAGTTCTAGCCGACCTGTGACAATGAGACTGTCTCAGTAGATCGAGAAGTGAGCGAACACATACCGGCGTTCGCTCACCTCTCGATCCTGTCGTAGCTCTCTGCCGTGACAGGGGAGGGGCTGGATTCCCCCCGCTCCGATCGCCAGCGCTGACTGGCGGATCGGACGGGGCGGGTACAGCTGGCTCTGCCTCTGGATAGGCAGAGCCAGCTGTCACTCATGCAGCCAGCTGTCACTCATGCTGTAGCTCGCGGTATACTGAGCTTAGGGTGACGGGAGGACGCTAGTTTGTGTCCTCCCGTTACCCTAAGGAGAACTATGGGGAAAAGCCTTAACCCCATAGTTTTCCTTTAAGTTACTTGAATGTATTTTTATGATTTCACTCCTGAGTTTAGTGTCACTTTAAGTCATCTTTATTTCTTTGGGAAAATTAAACATGATATTGTACCGGCTTCCATACTACAGCTCTTCTTTGCCCCACATATCATAAACCATCCCTACTGACTCCTGTAGCTGTAACTGCTTTTATAATTCTGTGCATCCAGTCTTATAATTAAGCCCCTCTTGCCTCTCTACTGAAGCAGTAACAAAGCTTGGTTAATAACACACCCCTGCCTGTTGATCGATTAGTGAAGGGGCAGCACAAAAAGGTGGCCAATCGTCTCAGTATACCGCAAGCTGCAGCTCGCGGTATACTGAGCTTAGGGTAACGGGAGGACGCTAGTTTGTGTTAAGGAGAACTATTGGGAAAAGCCCTGACCCCATAGTTCTCCTTTAAGTAATCAGTTCTGCTCGCCTTTGTCTACCCAACCGAGCCTGACTGTCTCTTAGCACTAAATTTTTGTGCAGCACAGCTGCAATACATCACAGTATGCTGCACTGCATAGTAAAAAGCATTGAGTTAAAAAAAAAGTCATTAAAAACACACAGCACTGGTTTAAAAATGCATACTAACGCATGCATTATGTGTGCGCTATAGTATGCGCTAATCTGTGAATGAACTCTAAACCTGCCATGCCAGGAATGGGGTGTCTATCATTATTTACCTCTTCCTGAAAATGGTAGTAGGGCTATTGTGCTAACCCTCCAGCCTCAATACTTTCTGATTTGTTGACCTGCAGCCGCATATCAGGAAAATCAAAATAAAGTCAAAAGTCTAAACTTTTTCGAGGTCAATGATTGAAAATATCAAAACAAAATGGGTTAACCTGAAAACCAAGCACCTGACATTCTCAGAATGAAATATCAACATTGGCAGCCTCTATGGCTTTCTCATGGAAAGTTTCCTTTTAACAAATTGGACATTAATATTGTATGATGTGCAATTCAAGTTTAATATGTCATTCCTTGAATGATTGCACCTACAGGTACACCCTGATTGAGCTCATTTCATCATTTTGCATTAAACACGTTGGATTTAGCTAATTTCCAACATTTCATTCATCTTTTCTGTCAATTAGATGTTATAGGCTGTGCACACTAATTTTTAGAAGATAATGCATATTTTGTGTTTCAATGTCATTTCCTATAAAACTATAGATTGACTTGATATGTCTCTTGACTCACCTCATAATTTCATTTAATTCCCTGGTATCTGCATATTAATGAAGACTTTGGCTTGCAGACAGATATCACAATAATCTCATTAGAACCTTGTCTGCTGTAGTTAATGATTCAGTGCCTGTTGTATTACAGGAAACAGGGAATTAATAAGCATTTAGTACCATTTCACCATGTTCTTGTTGGATTTTCTAAGAGGTTGGGCAGTAATTTTTTTTCCATAATTGTGATATTAAAGCAGTAGAAGCATAGGTCAGATAAATGGCAAAAGTTGAAACTCTTTTTAATGATTGCCATTTTCATATGAACTAGGTTCAGCTACTAGTGTTGAAATAAAATGTTCTTGCTTGAAAGTAGGGATGTCCCGATACCACTTTTTCAGGACCAAGTACAAGTACTTCCCCGCATGTACTTGCCGATACCAATTACCGATACTTTTTCTTAAAGGGACAGGTGACTTTAAATGATCCATAGTACAACTACATGTTATTTACTATGGATCATGGTTTAACCTATTCATGTTAGCAGCGGAGAATTGTAACTCTATTGCTGGAGTGTAGTGGAGGTGTGTGCTGTATATATGTACTACATATACCTTACACACACCCAGTACACTACAGCAATAGATTTACATGCAGCCCCGTCCCAGCTTCCCTCACTCACAGTTTCACTCCGATCCCTGTTGCCTCACGCGGTGCCTCTTGTCATCGGCGCTGGGCAGGATCGCTGCATCACGTCTCGGTGCTCAGCTTGTGGGAGATGCTCACAATTCTGCCCTGCTAACATGAATAGGTTAAAGCATGATCCATAGTACATATACAGTACACACGTCCAGTACACTGCAGTAATAGAGTTACAATTATCCCCTCCTAACATAAATGGGTTAAATCATGATCTATAGTACATAATATGTAGATGTACTACGGATCATTTAACCTATTAATATTAGCAGAGGATAATTGTAAAGGTGCCCATACACCTGCCGATTATCGTGCGACCAGCCCACCTGAGGGTGACCCTGCAATGCCCACCATAGAGAGTCTATGGTGGGCTCTGCAGGTTCACCCTCAGGTAGGATCTTGAGTGGGCTCTGCAAGGAGTATAACTAGAAATCATGGGGCCCCATACAAAATTTTGCTATGGGGCCCTGTGATTTTTAGTTACGACCCTTATCCCCTGCTAACATGATTAGGTTAAATCATGATCCATAGTACAACTACATGTTATGTATGTACTATAGATCATGATTTAACATAATACTCTATATGAAGTACATGTACACTTACACTACACATTATAAATACAATACTGGCAAAGTGGCAAAAACTACACCACTTGCCATCTCAGCAAAGGGCCTCACTTACTAGTGCCTGTTGAATGGAGGTGCCGAATTAGTTTTTTTTCCTCATGTGAGGACGACGTCAGCGGCACTGAGTGGAGGAGCGTCGCGTCACTGCTGTGGGCGGAGCTACAGGTTCAGGGGCTTCAGTTACTAAACACGTGCAGGGCAAAATAAATTGTTTCGGACGAAACAAATGAAAACTAAAAACATTTTCCTTCGTTTCAAATGAAACAAATTTTTTACTGTTTTGTAGGGATGTCCCGATAGCACTTTTGTAACTCTATTGCTGTAGTGTAGTGGAGGTGTGTGCTGTATATATGTATTACATTTACAGTACACACTTCCGGTACATTGTAGCAATAGATTTACAGGCAGCCCCGTCCTAGCTTCACTCACTCCGATCCCTGTTGCCTCACACGGTGCCTCTCGTAATCGTCGCTGGGCAGGATCGCTGCATCGCGTCTCGGTGTTCAGCTTGTGGGAGGCTCTCACAATTCTGCCCTGCTAACATGAATAGGTTAAATCATGATCTATAGTACATATACTGTACAGTACACATGTCCCGTAGACTGCATTAATAGAGTTACAATTATCCCCTGCTAACATGTATGGGTTAAATGTTCCATAGTACATAATATGTAGTTGTACTACGGATCATTTAACCTATTAATATTAGCAGAGGATAATTGTAAAGGTGCCCATAAGACAAATGCCGCACGGGCCACTGACAGTAATCTGTGCAGCAGCGCGTTCCTCTCCACACAGTCAATGAGAGCCAGCAGCGGCGGTGGAGCAGGCTGGACCCGGCAGTGGAGGAGGAGGCGGGGCCCATCAGCGACCTTTGACGAAGAGGAGGCGGACAGGTAAGGAGTGCAACCAGCCCACCTGAGGTTGACCCTGCAGAGCCCACCATAGAGAGTCTATGGTGGGCTCTGGAGGTTCACCCTCAGGTGGGATCTCGAGTGGGCTCTGCAAGGAATATAACTACAAATCACGGGGCTCCATACAAAATTTTGCTATGGGGCCCTGTGATTTCTAGTTACGCCCCTGATCCCCTGCTAACATGATTAGGTTAAATCATGATCCATAGTACAACTACATGTTATGTATGTACTATAGATCATGATTTAACCTAATACTCTATATGAAGTACATGTATACACATTATGAATACAATACTGGCAAAGTGGCAAAAACTACACCACTTGCCATCTCAGCACAGGCCCTTACTTACTGGTACCTGTTGAATAAAGGTGCCTCACGAGGTTCCGAATTAGTTTTTTTTTTCCTCATGTGAGGACGAGGAGGAGCGTTGCGTCACTGCTGTGGGCGGAGCTACAGGTGGAGACCTCTGGGCAGTCGCCGGCCAACTAGAATAGAACCCATCTGGAGCTCCGCCCACAGCAGTGACGCGACGCTTCTCCAGCCTGCCCAGAGGACGACAGCCTCCACGGAAGGTATCACACAAAAAATAAAAAAACAGAGCAAGCTTCGGCTAGGCATCGGGGCATTTTGACAAGTACAAGTACTTGCCAAAATGCCCTGTATCGGGCCCGATTCCGATGCTAGCATCGGTATCGGGACATCCCTACTTGAAAGTCATATAACGAATGAGAAGCCTGCATATCAGTGTTATTTTTGTAATGGTATAATACTGAATTAAGTAATCACTCTGGGGGGAATTTATCAAATCTGGTGCAGACAGAATCTGGTGCAGTTGCCCATGGCAACCAATTAGCATCTCTTCAGTTTGCTCTTCTAAGATTTGAAAATGAGAGAGAGAAGCTGATTGGTTGCAGTGCAAATCTGCTCCAGATTCTGTCTGCTCCAGTTTTAATAAATTCCCCTCTCTGTCCTAGCATTTCTTATTTCTTGTGACTGGCTCCAGTGGTTTTAATGTTTGACCTAAAACTAATTTGTATAACTTGTACATCTTCTCTGTATAGCCTTTATGCCGCAGCCATACACCCGTCCCCCCCGCCCGCAGTGCGATCGCCCGCCCCAGAATGCCTGGCACAGCAATGCCTGCATTCCAGTCCAGTCCAATTGCAACAAAATAGTGCTTGTACTATTTTTTGCGATCGCACTGGACCGGAATGTAGCCATGTGTTCTGGTGCGGGCGATGACACTGCAAGCGGGGGGGACGTGTCTGTGATGCTATTGATTGGAATGCACTGCCACGCTCCCTCCTGCCCCACAACGGAGGGAGGCTTCCACTATGCTATCCAGTATGTTCTGGCCACTAACCGTGCCCGAAGGGCCCTGGAGATGCTGTGAACCAGCCCTAAAACAGGCCAAGGCACAGAGAACCCACCTGGTATTTACCAACACATCCCACAGGGCTTTACTGCAGAACGGCTCCCAGCTTGTGGCCTTGAACACATGCCTGTAGACTAAAGCTGACCAGAACAGAACCAGAGCAAGGTACTACCGGTAAGTCAACAGGCAATCTCATAAATGGAGATCCACAGCAAAAATCTTCTCCTTCCCATCAAGAGATCCTGTCCTCATTTCCCCTGCCATGATATACACTGCTTTACTATATAATACATACTGCTGTCCCCTGCTTCACCCGCCAGCTACTGCTTTCCCATATAAATATGGTCAGGGCAGGCATCGAGCAAGCAAAGTCTGATACAAGGCCAAGGTCAATAACAGGGAATACTGGAATTCAGGGACACTGGAACTCAAACTGGGGCCTGGGGCTAGAACTGAAACCTATTGCTCAACTGAGCACTGCTAAATAGTAAGGTTGATTGATAGGCTGGGCAGGTACTGACTGAGAAGCTGCTATATCAATCAGCGGGTGGGGTCTGGGGACACCTATAGCTCTCAGTCCAGTTCAGCAACAAGGTAAGAAATAAAAGCACAAGTTTGTAGAACGACAAGTAACAAATTAGGTTAGCTGCTGATCTGTGACAATGTTTTAGGCTCCTAAAAATCTGAAGATGATATTTGACAGTGAAATATCTCTCCACAGGTGCCCGTAGGTACAGAGGTTGAAGGGATGAATATTTTGGGACTGGTTCTCTTTGCTCTTGTCCTGGGAGTGGCCTTGAAAAAATTGGGACCAGAAGGGGAGGAGCTCATCAGATTTTTCAATGCTTTTAATGAAGCTACCATGGTTCTTGTGTCTTGGATTATGTGGTAAGTTATTTAAGATGCCTCAGCTTACCCTACACAGCTATGGAAAAAAAGCTCTTTTTTGAAAAAAAGCACTATTTACAGAGATCAATGAACAGAAGTCCCTTGATCTTCCACCACTCTCCCTCCTAATGTCCCTTTTGGTTTTTGCTTCTGAGCTCCTAAGAATAGCATAGTGAGAATGGGAAAGTTGCCAGGGCAGGCAAGAGTCGGGGTAGAAACATTTCACATAACATGGTACATGGTTCAGTTGATGCTCATAAATGCAGTCCTAGCTCTTGCAGCACACATGGTCAACTGTATACATTTTGCATTCCAAAAGTCAAGTCAAAGTCTCTTTTAATGACCTTGTCTTGTGCATTTCATCTCCCTGAAATTATTGAGAGTATTACAATATTGTACAGGCTGAGGCCTCGTTCACACCTGAACGTTTTGTAGCGCGTTCTACGCTCGACGAACGCTCTACAAAACGCTCAAACATCTAAATCCCATTGTATTCAATGGGTCTGGTTCACACCTTGCCGTATTTCCGCCCATCCCTAACGCGCTACAAAACGGCCCACGCCTGAAAAGGTACATGTACTACTTTGGGCCGTTTTTGTTGCGCGTATCCATTTGGTTACAGCCAAGTAGCCCTCGGAAACGCGCGCTTGTCGCGCGGTAAAAAACGCACGACAACCGCGCGACAGACGCGCATATGCAATACGCCTAGGTGTGAACCAGGCCTAAGACTGCTGGAGGGTGCCACCATCTTGGTTGTGACATCAGCCGCTCCAGGCAGACTCAGATCTGTCATTCAAATTATGCTCTGTATTATTCCACTGCTATCAATTATTTATGTTTGGGGCTCACAGTCTCTCATTTATCTGATGACAGGGCAGAGAGGACAATAGCAGAACAATACCAGCAGTACCATCTAATCTACTTTGCATATATTACAATTAGTCCTGTTTTGTTTACATTTGTGTTCAAACAACTCTACTCCAACTAACTTTGCTGCTTAACTACCTTATGGCTGCACACAGATAACAAATAGCTGATCTTACCAGAAATCTTATGATTTGATAATCAACAACTGTGCGGGATCCTGCTGTCTTCCTACATACCAGTGGGGAAAGGGGGGGGGGGGGGGGGACACAGTGGCCGACACTGGAACTTAGTGGAAGTGGTCAGATTCCTACTAACATAAAGATTCCTCAAAACACAGGAAATATTTTTCTTTTACAAAAATTTAGGAAACATGCAAGTGCCCGTTGAGGTTTTCATTTAAAGTGAGGTCTGGTAACAGGGTATCTTTAAATAACAGAAGCCTAAACGTTTCACTGGAGAACTTAAATGGAATTTAACTTTGAAACTAAAGGCAAATGTATTTTCTGTTGTGCAACGTTCCAAATATACTGATTATTCTTGCATGGTTCTTCTTTAGGTATGTCCCTATTGGAATTATGTTCCTAGTTGGCAGCAAGATTGTTGAGATGGGAAATGTTGTGCTTCTGGTGACCAGCCTTGGGAAGTACATCATAGCGTCTATTCTGGGTCACATTATTCATGGAGGAATAGTACTTCCACTCATCTATTTCGCTTTTACACGCAAAAACCCCTTCACATTCTTACTTGGGCTGATAACTCCCTTTGCAACTGCTTTTGCAACATCTTCAAGGTAAGTTTTTGCATGGTCATTGCTCACCCTTCAGTAAGCTTACACATCTGAAGTAATGACATTTGTAAGGGTGTCAGTGGGCTCCAATGGGTGCTTAGCTCTGATTGTCCTTTAGCGCTTCTTGTGATGGCCCCGGAATGTAGCCACCACATTCAGCACTTCAGGTGAGCCAAACTCACCTGAACTGAATAGTGTGCAGCTCAAAGATAAATATGAATGATGAACCATTTTGTGAGGGCATTGGTTGGTTTGTAATAAATATATTTATGTATATAAATTGTAGTCTGTATATAAATTAGAAATCCAAGCTATGAAATGTGTACAGGAAAAGTAACTTACTTGCTCAGGGATTTTGTTTTTATCCAGGCTATGCTATCCAGGAAGACTTGCCACCAACCAGAAAATCAATGCAATAGATTATAACGTAAACATGAGTTTTCTTTGGTATAGAATGCCTAGATTAAGCACGTTTTTGAGCATAACTCTTGGAGAGCCTGTAGCTTTTTGCCAGTCATCCAGCACCGTGCCACCTCTCAGCAGTGATTCCAGGAGACTGTGGTGGAGACAGATGTTTGAAGTTAGGAATACCTGCTATGCAGAATCAAATGCTTACATCCAGATCTTTTTGCCCACATAAATGTCCTGTTTTAAACAAACAATACCAGAATGGAATACAAAAGATCTGTGGCTGCTATATGTTTTTTCATAGGACATCTCCAGGTTTTACTGAAAACACCACCAAATAGAGGCACAAATGTACACAGATTGGGTGTTATGTTAAAAAAAGATCTGTCTGTATTATTACCGTGAAAGGCCAATTCTGCTAAAAAAAACTGCTGATTAAGTTAGTTACATAGTAAGCCACAGCAAGTATAACGTTCTCAGACTTGCATTGAGAAAGATGAACTCTAAAGGATGATCACAGTTTTGTTATTAAAATGTCAGCAGCATGTGGAATTGATCACTTCCACTAGAAAGCCAACATTTGGCTGTGATGTACATGCCATAGCTGCCACCAATGTATTTAATAAGAAAGGGTTAATGTCTATTATTCTGTATCTAGTTTTCCAGATGATACTTTTCTTCCTATCTGTGTCCCTGTTGAGGAAAGTTTCCCTCGTTTCTGTATTCCAGGTGACTGGTAACTGGTACAGGAAGTCTACAGAAATCTCCCCAGGAGATGCAAAATAGCAATACCAATGCAATGGAATGGAATTTTTGTTGGACGAATGACTAACTTTGTTTTATATATAGTGTTAATGTTGCCCAAAGAATCCTGGGCAAATATTTGACGAATGTCAGGCAAATTGGCCATCAAATTGTTTATAAATTTACTGCATTGACATGATTAATTACATCTAGCTGATCAAATTCACAGGCGAAAAAGGCTCTAGATTCCCTCAAACCCATCTTGACCCCTCTATGTCTCTGGTCAGCCAGTCTCCCTAGTCGGTATTTTCACATAAGCACATTTTGTCGCTCATTAGTATATGCTGATGATTTGTTGCAGGCATGTCTTGTGATCACTAATAAGTGTGTTTTACTTGTCCTTAGTTCTGCAACTCTCCCAACCATGATCAAATACATCGAAGAAAACAATGGAGTGGACAAAAGAATTAGCCGGTTCATCCTACCTATTGGAGCAACAGTGAACATGGATGGTGCAGCAATCTTTCAATGTATGGCAGCTGTATTCATTGCCCAGATGAACAACACTGACCTAAACGCTGGACAGATCTTCACTATTCTGTAAGATAACAAGCTATGTAATAACTCCTCTCCCCAGCACAGGACAAATGTGGACATGTTTATATGTAATGCATTTATAATTATAGAGACAGCCATAATGTATACTGAACCACTCTGTGTGAATGTACTGCAGCAAGCAGTGGCAGGTACAGATGTTTTGATACTCATCATATAGTTGGCTCATACTATGAGCTCCATCTTTCAATGAACCCATTCATATACTCTCAATACAATTACTAGTAGTCACCATCAGGGCTGTCCCTATAAATGAAGCAGCCTGTGGCATGGCCGCTCTGCTGCACAATGTTTGCAGTGTGACTGGCACCTCCTTTCCACTCAGAGCTACCCAGGTTACTAAGAGCCAGGTGGGGAGATGTGTAAGGGCCAAACACATCTCCCAGCCCAGCTCTTATTAACCATGGACACTCTGGCTGGCATCCCACTCAACTCCTGGCAATCAGTGACATCACTGGTTGCCAGGAGATGAGCAGGATGCTCTGGCTGGCGTGCCGCCCAAACGCACCCCAAGCCAAACCAACCCACCCCTTCCCCTGGTTACTGTGTACCACCAGCAGCCCCCCTGCTGCTTTTTATTATACAGGAGGGAGGCCTTGATATATTAAAAGGACCTTGCCTTTTACTCCAGAGACCGCAACATACAGGGGTACAGGTACACTTAAGAAGAAGATGACACATGGACTTATCCACAGTCATACACATGTAGATTCACATGCATACACGCTATAGGTTGGACTTGATGGACCTGTGTCTTTTTTCAACCTCAAATACTATGTAACTCCAAGGTCCACTTTAACATATAGAAACATTGGATATTACTAATAAATAATAAAATGTACTTGGAAAGCATCAGCTCTCTACTGTAAAGTAGAGTTCCCAAATCCCTGGTGTCCACATGTTATATATTGTGTTCATGCCTTGGAGGCCACTGTTCTGTAGAATTAGAGCATACATGATGTAATTCATATAGCTTTGTACATTGAGGCTTTCTTTGTTACGCCACTGTCCTGGTCAATAAATATACTATTTAGAATTCATGCTCCCAGGCTGGTTTCCTCTGGATAATATATTATACAATAGATTCAGGAAGTACACCCTAATTATCATTGTCTAAAAAATATAACTTGGAGGTCAAGGTGGTTGTCTAATCATTCTTTATTACTCTTTAGTGTGACAGCAACAGCCTCAAGTGTGGGAGCAGCTGGAATTCCTGCAGGAGGTGTCCTTACTATCGCTATTATTCTAGAGGCGATTGGTCTTCCCACAAATGACTTGTCTCTCATCCTGGCGGTAGATTGGATAGTGTGAGTATTCGTGTCACAGAATCATCTCACCTTTACTTGTTAAAGCGGGCTGCATTTTATAATTATAAATTACAGGCCACAGTGTGTAGTGCTCCATGGAGTTCTCTCTTTGCACTTTCAGCACTTTGGAGGGGAGCTGGTCTCGTTGGCTTTGACAGATTACATACCCATGCCTCGGAGTGCAAATTTGTAAAGCAAATTGCTGTGCTTTATAAATATGTGTTAGAGTTTTTTTTAAAGCAGTGCTATAGCTGCAGCAAGGCAATAATGCTGTGCATTATGAATAGACGTCTTATTGTGCACAGAGTTATCAGCCAAGTGCAGTAAAATTGGCTTTTATACTGAGGGTTAAAGGAGAACTATGAGATGAGTGATTTCCACTCACCTCATAGTTCTAAGCCGACCTGTGACAATGAGACTGTCACAGGTCGGCTCAGTAGATCGGGAGGTGAGGGAACACATACCGGGTTCCCTCACCTCTCGATCCTGTCACGGCTCTCTGCCGTGACAGGGGGAGGGGCTGGATTCCCCTCTCCCCGCTCCGATCTGCCAGCGCTGACTGGCGGAACGGACGGGGGAGGGGGCGGGTACAGCTGGCTCTGCCTCTAGGTAGGCAGAGCCAGCTGTCACTCACGCAGCTGGGCGGATCCCGTCTTCCGAGTCGGGATCCGCTCCAGCTGCGGCGTCTCAGTATACCGCGAGCTGTAGCTCGCAGTATACTGAGCTTAGGGTGACGGGAGGACGCTAGTTTGTGTCCTCTCGTTACCCTAAGGAGAACTATGGGGAAAAACACTGACCACATAGTTTTCCTTTAAAGGAAATGTCTATATATTCTGTTTTTCCTAACGAGTCCTTTATGCCACATAAAATTGGTTTAATTTTAAAGATCTTACTGCATTTTCTCATTTGACATTCAGCAACCTCCCTAGCTATTCTGCCTTGAAATGATGGGCAGAAGATGTCTGCCTATTTTTGAACAGTGTGGCAGATTCTAAAGGATATTGTGTGAAGTCCTGATAAGGAGTAGTGCACATGCTGGATACCATTTCTTCCCTCTTCTTATTGAGGACCAGCCTTATCATAGAAAAGATTTTCCAACAACAGACAGTTAACTTAAAGTGGAACATCAGGCAAAAAAATATTGATTCAGATATATTCCTCAGTAGTCAAAAAAGATAGACATCCACTCTGTGGGCACCAAAGGCCTTTGCAAATCCAGATATTACCATAAAAAGTAGTAGTGAAGGACTACAGGAGGGGTGGATACAAGACCAGTCACCTGCACAAGTAGAGAGAGAGCAGCAGTGCCCGGTCTTTATTACAGGAAGTTCCTGCACAGAAAGTGCAAAATGCAGGAGACATTTCACAGTGGATTACTGCACACAACTGGGAGAAATGCACAAAAGGACACCAAGATTCAAGTATGAATATACATGACTCTTGTATTTGCTTATATCTTTAAAAAACTTTCTATTGCATTCTCAATACTACACAATAGAACTGGAACCACAATATTGATAAATACTATGGCACAAATATGTGCTGAGCATTGTTTGATTGTGGTTGAGATGACACAAAACGGAAATATGTTAAGTTTTTTTAACAATATTTGAGATATTAGAGCATAGTTTGTGGTTACAATTTTAGATCTTTTTACGTTTATAGTAGTGATTGTGTTCTCTGGATTGTAGATTTTCCAAACAATGTCTGACATTTGCAAAAATGTTTGTGAATGATGACTGTTTTGACATTAAAAGCGTGCAATCATTTTACTAGGATAATCCTAAATGGCCCAGTCACAAGTTGAATTTAGCCATTTACGATCACCATTAATAATAAAATGTGACATTAAATCCCACAATACATGGCTTCAACAGTTGTCAAGTGTGTATTTCTCAGTGACAGAGACAAGCAATGAAGAGGGAAAGCAAAGAGACATAAGATTTAAACATCTATAAAATAAATCTGCTCCTAGAAGCTTGCCTGCACTTTCTTTAACAGCTAAAGTCAGATTTTAAAATAGGAATGAATAGTGCACAGAAGGGGAGCAGTGGGAGAGATTATAAGCAAGGATTAAAAGGAACAAAAATAAGGAAACGCATTTTAACTGAACACGTTTCCAGTGGTGGAATTACACTTTAAATTGTACCTGCTTTCCATGCACAGTGGATTTAGAGTGCTGATTTCTGATAGCTTTAAGAGTGCCATCAGTATCTATGCCCGAGTAAGGTGAGAGCGATTAGGGGAATCATAATTTATTATTTCAAACCAGACAGATAACTTTGCACTAAGAGCCAGGAACAAGCTTATTGTTGCACAGAATGACCAGTCAGGAAGCACAGTCTTGATATGTGATGAATGTACAAATATAATTACAAACTATATGTGAACAACAACAAAAAATAGATCAGACTTTAATGTACACTGACAATGTTTTTACGTTAAAAAAGAAGTCTCACTAAAAATGTTACATTTTTATTTTTTTCCCCAGGGGACCAAATGCATATAGCACCTGGGCCCGTTTGGGGAGCTGGCCCCATTGCAGAATATAAGCGCCTCTTTATTTATGTTATTGCTGGCTGTAGAGCCACTCCAGTCTGAAGCCTAAAATATGGGTGTTCCTGTGGGGGAGGGCACAGCCAGCATTAGGCCTCTGTCTCCGTTCTCCCCCTGTCTGTAGAACAATCAGTGCTACAGGGAAGTGTTATAGAGGTGCCGGCTGCAAGTAAACATACAGAGCAGCAGCAGCTCTATCTCCCAGGCCCGACAGCGCTGATTGTTTATTTATAAAAGATCACTCAGCTCTGCAGGGCTGTGATCTATCTGCTAGGGCTGCTTGTAAATATACAGAGCCCCGCCCCCCAGCTTATATGAATGCATACTCAGCACTGTCAGGATTCTGTCATATACTGTACTGGCATCCACAGAACTCATCACTCATTTATAAAAGCTTACTCAGTGCTGCAGGGCTGTGATCTACCTGCCAGGGTTTATAAGCAGCCCTAGCAGATAGATCATAAAGCCCTGCAGCGCTGTGATTTTTTTTTATGAATCAATGATCAGCTCTGCCATGTCACACACTGTACTGGCCCCGACAGATCTGATCATTCATTTATAAAAGCTCACTCAGCACTGTGGGGCTGTGATCTATCTGCCGGGATTATGCTTACAAGCAACTCCGGTAGATAAAACACGTAGCCCTGCAGCGCTAAGTGATCTTTTATGAATAAATGCTCAGCACTGTTGTGGCCAGTACGGTGTATGAAATAGTCCTTACAGCATTGAGCATTCATTCATAAAAACTCACTCAGCACTGTGGGACTTATTAAAAACTTTAAAAAGACTACTGAAGTAATCGCTTAGGTGTTTCTAGCATTGCTGATAAAGTCTATCTGTTATTGTTAACAGTGACCGGACAACTACAGTAGTAAATGTTGAAGGAGATGCACTTGGAGCAGGAATTCTTCATCATCTCAACCAGAAGGAAATGGCAAAGAATCAACAGGAGCTGAATGATGTTTACGTTGAGGCTGTGCCAAACTGCAAGTCAGAAGAAGAAACGTCACCTCTTGTAATGCACAGAGACCAAACCTCAAACCCCACAAACATGGCTCTACCAGAATCAAAAGAATCTGTACTGTGATGTGCCACGTCATGCTGCTGTTTTGATTAGACTGAGGGTCGGTTCTTTAGACCAGATATTGCTCACTGCCAGTATGGGCTGCTAGAGCCTAGAATAGTGACTCCTTCCTATATCCACAGGAGTTATTCTTTAAATTCCAAACCACTAATAAGCAAAGTGCCCTATATAGAATTATATAGAAATAATCGTTTTACCATACATGATATGCTTCTTCACATAGCATTACATGAGGATCGTCTTCTATAACTGTACGTTTAGTATCACTTGCAGCAATGACATGAGCGATAGTTGTCTGGTGTCATTCTATTGCCAGAGCTTATATCTCAGTTTGCTCAAACAAGGTTATCCCATGGTAATGAGACCAGAACTGATCCTTCCTGAATCCTTAATGCAAGAGGTGACAACAAGTGAACTTAATGGGGACTTGCTGGGGATAAGACTTGCTAAGATTCAGAATGAATCGTCTATTGGACCTAGGATGTAGATAATTGTTGTTTGTCTGCCTATATTTACCCGTTTAAATTGTTTTGCAAGCATTGCATTCTGCACTTAGTTTCCCCTTAGTCCTAGCACCTCATGCAGCTTCCTGTGATGAGGCGACGACGCTGCTGCACTGCTCCTAAATTTGGAGCAGCATTGTCACCCTTATGTAGGCTGTGCCTGCTTGAACTGCAATGGGATGAAAAGATGTTGAAGGGGGTGTGGCTATAAGCATTGTCACTGCTACTTTACAAGCATGTAGTTTGTCAGTCAGCACATGGCCACACCTAGTCCTGCCCGCTGTTTTGTGGACTGATAGCTCTGCCTCTGTTGGTGATCCCCCCACCTGTGAACTGTAGTATCTTGGAGGGGAAGCATATGAGGCAGAAATGAAGGAAGATTTGTCTCAGTAAGAAAAAATAATGTAGATTGTTTTACCTGTATGAGGCTTGTGCATCACATTCTAACTGCATCTGGGACCTTTTTAGACTGTCATATAGAAGACTTTAGACATACTTTAATTTGAAAAAAATATATATATTCATTTACTAATCATGGGAAAATGGGCAAAGAAGGGAAAGTGGCAAGTGCCATAGAAGGCAATCTTGTTAAAGATAAAGTGAGTGGTTGAAGTGGTCTCCTTCAAGGTTGTACAAGAGGCAACAGTACAGTAAACAACAACATAGCACCTATATACAGTAGCTGTACCATGAGTATAAGGATGGAAGGGGTGGGGGGATTCAGGGGTACAAAAACTTGTACCTTGTGTGAGCAAGTTCCCCTTTTAGCACTTGTGTATACAAGTCCCATAAAACAAATTATATAATGTTAACATTATTTCAAGTTACATCCACTGCTCATTATTTATTTTTGTTGAGAGTGTCCAATTTCCTGTATTTTTAATAATTTTGATTATTCTAGTGGCATTTATATATTTGTTTCTTTTGTCATTCATTTGAAACCCAATTATGTATTTTATGCTGATGGATAAAAGGATACGTTTGGAATGCTAAATGTATCTAGTTCTTAAATGTATTATAGCAATCAGGGTGAAAATTATTATACAAGAGCCAATTTACACCAGGTCAGTCTTTTAATGCACACGCATTAACGTGCATTACTTCAAAGGAATGGGCTACCTAACACATCACAGTAGACCTTGCTGCTTTTTTTGTATGACAGCATACCTCAATGCACAGTAGAGCATGACTACTGTGCATTGCAACGCAAGTGTGTTGTAAAGGTGTGTTAGGGTGCCATTCAAAATAAATAATACTGCAGCGCACAAACACAAGCTATAATGTAAAATTATTTATATTTGATTGCCATACAATAATTACATTATTGTCTTTAAATGAGGGGCCTTGCCTCCATGCTATGGCTTATTAAGCAGAGGAGTATTTTAGGGGATCCCGGTGGGAGCATTAAGATGGGTCTAAACAAGTGCAGTGTGGAATGTATACATGAAACTAACTAAAAGGTATCAAAATACAGACAGTTCATTTGACCTATTTTTTTTTTTATGTGCAAGAATGTTAGGGCAGTGGTCAACGATGCAGAGTCCTTACTGTTTTGTAAGGTAAACAATTGCAAAAGTGCATTTATTTATTTTATTATCAAAAAGTTTTTTTGCTTTTAAAGCTAAATACCAGACACAAAGTTAAATACACTGATCAAACATATCATGTTTACCTGCCAAAGATTTTGTATTGTTGTCCATTTAGTCCTGATATTTACACAGTTCTGCCACACAGCAGAATCATGCAGATGTCACCATTACAGTTCTAGACTGTAGAATTAATACATTGACCTCATCTTCCCACCCCAACCTGCTGTTTTCACAACAGCAAATACCCATATCTAATCATGGCCCTATCATTCCAATCTGAGTTTATTATGAATGAAGATGTTTTCCACTTTCATAAGCTTATTGGGTAATGAACACATGGCTAAACACATTCATATTTATTTACTATTATTGTACTTTTATTGTATTAATTTAGAGCAGTCTTTCTCAACTGGAGTACCGTCTGGGTTCATCAGTAGTGCCGGCAAAAAAAACATGATGTCCCGTATTGATTCTATATGGGATGTGGTTTGTCTCTTATTTTCTCATATCGTCATGCCTTCCATGGTACATACTGCGAACAGAATTGACATGCATGATGCTAACCACATCAGGGCATTCAGAAGGGGACTAAGGGAACTCTTTATCTGGAGTGTGCCTCCATCCAGGCCTGCTTTACTTCCCACTTTCTGCCATGCTGCCTCAGCTGCTGGTTGTAAG